GTCCTGTGCCAGTGGGGCCTTGAACCCTTCCGGGGGGGGGCCAGCCACAGCTTCTCTGGGCAACTTGTTCCTGTGCCTCACCTCCCCCACAATAAAGAATTTCTTTCTTATACGTAATCTAAATCTACCCTCTTTCAGTTTAAAGCCATTATCCCTTGTGCTATCCCTACATGCCCTTGTAAAAAGTTTCTCTCCAGCTTTCTTGTAGGCCCCTTAAGGGTACTGGAAGGCTAGGTTCAGAAGCAAAGCAAGAAGAGAAAGCAATAATGTTGCTTTGTGGTAAAAGAAGTATTAATGAGGGAAAGAAAGCTGTGTAATTATCAAATGGAAGGAGGAGAAGGGAGGAGAGGGGAGTGGAAAGGAGGGGAGGAGAGGAGAGGAGAGGAGAGGAGAGGAGAGGAGAGGAGAGGAGAGGAGTATTCAAGAGCTCACAAAATGACTAGAAGTGTAAAAAGCGCTTCCAAAAGTGCCCAAGACCTCAAAGCAGTTCAGCTTCTGGAGATGAAATATTTGAAAAGAATCTTTACTGGCCTGGGCCTAAGTGCCTCAGTCGCTGTTACATGCAGGACTTAGATTCCTAAGCCTCGTCTGAGCCTTTGAATATCTCACCCTACACTTCCTTCATTGCAGATCCTGAAGTGCCAGTCACCGTTTTAAAGGCGAAGTGGGAACAAAGTGTTCTGTAACAGAGTTTGACAATAAATATTAGCAATTACATGCAACTTAAGTAAGTCCAGAGCATTCTGCTGCTGATGGAAAAGACAGTGGATGCACGAGCTCAGCAGAGGTGAAACTCTGAGTGATTTGACTCTTCTCCTCAGATGGAGGCAGGTGCGGAAAGTGGATCAGCTCAAGTGAAGCACTGAACTAAGCAAGCTGCACAGCTCTCAGTGCCAAGAACACAAATCCTGATCTTCGTGAGCATTTACTGACTCTCAGTTCCTATGCTATGCCCATTACCATGCTATCTGAGTACTTCCCAGGTGCATTTAAAAACCAAACCACTGTCTCTCCTAATTGTACTGCTATTGAGTAGGAGTAATATGCTTGCTTTCACTACAGACTATCATCGTTACTATCACTGTCAAGAAATTACCAGAGGAAAGCTAAGCTAAAAAATGGGCTTTGCATTTAGTTCAGGCCCTGGCATGAACTAGGCATCATTATCATCTCTTGAAGAAGCGGTTGCTGAAATTTAGATACATTTCCTGGGAATATTGCATATTTCTTGTGCTAAAGAGTCTTCTTGTTGCTTAACAACTCAATTATTCTGGTCAAGCACAGTTGTCACAAGGGGTCATGTTTCTAAAAGGTTCTTCTTGTTAGTTGGAGCCAATGTCATGGAGGACTTGGATAGTCTAAGAAAGAACTTAAAGTGTTTGGTGAGAGTGGGAGTTGGGGAACTGCAGGATTTTTTTAATTGTTACAGCAAAATTGTGCCACTGAGCAGATGGGCTATTTCTGTTCACACTAAGTGGAACGTTTCCAGGATTTTTGATGTTAGCCCTTGCTACAGCTCACAGCATTAAAGTTGCCTGGGAATCTCAGGGGCATCGCATGCAGCAATAGGCTGAAACATTATTTCTTGTCCAGGCAGAGGCAGACATGTGCCATATCTGTTTGACCATCTGATGCCAATCTACAAAGAGCTCAAAGCATTGAGCAAGCATTATTTCCAAGGAGTAAATACCTGCCAGTAGAGGAGGGTGCAATAGAAGTTGTAAACTGCCCATCCTGCTTGGGTTCACCTTCACCCAACTCCTAGTCATCTATATGGTGAGTCAGGGAGAGAACGGGTAGAATGTTGCTTTTGTTGTTTGCTAAGGGAGGGGTAAAGCATCATCCAAATATTACTGGGTTTGAAGCTCAAATTTTGAGGAGTGATGAAATGGAATTTACTAAAGGTAAGTTAGACCTATAAGATGAGGGAGCTTTGTGGATGTCTGAAGAAGGTGGAGCTATTACCCAGCACAGTTCGCTGGGCTCGGTCAGAGTAGGAGAAGCAGCCACTGAAAAGCATTCTTCTTCCCCCACAGCCCTTTAGAGGTGGGATGCTGGGAGGCTCCAGGAGCAAGAGCAGTACCAGCATAGGCGGGGAGGCAACACAGCTTCAGGGATGCTCCTGTGTCACCTAACCAGTAGCACAGGATAATGAGGCAGTACTGGCAGGAGACTGGACAATGGGCTTTGAAGAGAAGGAGGAGGTACTTCAGAAAAGTGCAGGGCACACAAATGAAGAGAGTCGGATGTCCCAGCAAGAACAGTTGTCTCCCTGCCTGACTTCTGGCCTGATGTTTGCCCAAGAGGGAAGCAGAATCATGACAGTTAAGAGATGAGGGCAACTTTGTGTTTTGTTAGGTTCCTCAATAGCTTCTTTCGAAGCAGGTTTTAGATAATGTGCTGTGATATTGCTCGTGCAGAGTGGTAGTTTCTATAACTGCCATATACTTCACAATGGGAGTAGATTTTTCTGAATACAGCTTTATGCACATACCTCATTACTTGACAGAAACCCTAAGGAAAGCAGAAAGAAACCATGTTTTTTTTTTGTGGCAGCAGAGGCAGGAAGGGAAAAGCTCTATGAAATCTGTTTTTTTTAATCTCTAGTAGACAGTCCTTCATTCAACAGAGACAGCAGGAAACAAACAGTAGAGCAAAGACTTTCCTGTGAGAGGTTTTCTGGCAGGTGCCTAACTGATTGCAGTGTGATCTGAGTGATCCATTAAAAATAAGAGAGAGAGAAAAAATCAACTCATTTGGGTCTAGGTGAAGACTAAAGGAGTTGAATAAAATCAACTCAGTCTGAGGATTAATTGCCTCAAGGTGGGATAATGCAATGAAGTCGTGAGATGGAAAATTAAAGTCAATGTCTTTTCAAACATGAATTAGACCATAGAGTTTGTTGCCAAAATTTTCTGAGTGCAGCAGGTTTCAAAAGTGCACTGGACATACATGTGAACAACGGAAATTATAGTAAATAATAAGGGTAAACAGTCACAACACTTTTTATACAGCCCTCCATGTTTCAGTACAAAAATGCCATTCCAAACACGTGGACAAAATGTTCCTTCACAAGCTCTTGAAACGCTCTCTGCACTTTTCTGTGAGACACCTGCTAATCAGCACTGCCCAAGACAAATACACGACTGGAACGATCACTGGCTTGATTTCTCCATTCCTGTTTTCCTAAATGTGAGATGGAAACAGACGGCTTGGTGTCTTTATATTTACAGTTCTTTGTCTCTCTGCTTCATCTGTCATTTATTCAGCTGTTCCTGTTCCATATGTTGCCATACTGGAAAAGCAAGGTACATTAACTCAGTCTCGTAAGAGTTTCATTATTACCTGACTTTCCTCCCAGCCGGTAAGAAATATATGATAACTTAGAAAATCATTTTTCCCTTTTTCAGCCATTTTTGTTTCCAAATGGAACAGAAGATCAGCAAACCACTGAAATGCTGATGGGTCTCGGCAAATCCAGTAAAAATAAACCTGTCAGATAAACATAAAGAGATTTAACAAGAAGCAAACTTTCAATAAAACTTCCTAATGATTGGCTATACTCATTAACCACATAGTGTATGACTCTTCTCCACTGTAAATTTAATTGTAATTACACATCATTTTGATTACGTGCTTTCCATCTTTTAAAAATTTCATTTTCATATAAACATTGAGTGAAAATAATGTGCCAGTGAAGATAGGCAGTGTACAAGTTTCCCATCTGCTCCTGCCAGAGCATCTCAACTCTGACTTATAATACCTAACCCTGCATTTCTTGCAAATAACTTGATTATTCTTTGAAATTTTGTATTTATCTTCAGTTATGTTTAAAATGGAAGTTCAGTTTCATTCAACACTGAAGTAAGGAATTCCTGTTTCTCAAGACCTTATGCCATAGGTTAACAGTTGATTTGTTCAGAAGATAGTTATCTTCTTAAAGTCAGATACCCTCTATAAAACAGGCTACAGAATGCTCCTACTTCCTTTTTAATGTATTTCTTGTTTAAATTGGGGCATATACTTTCTAGAGAAATATGAAACTGTAATTTTAAATTTGTCAAAGGGATAAAATGAACCACTGTCCCATGATTGGTTTTATATTGGTTGAAAACCTCCTCGCTATGAATAATGTACTCAGTTTTTCACATCCAGCTATCTCTAGTTTCATCTTCCATAACCTGGATCTTGTTTTAGTTGTCTATTGGTTTGGAGAGCCTGTCATTAAAGTTTTGTTTCCTATATAAAAATCAGAGCCTGGGGTCAAGCCATCCTATAATCCTCTCTATGATAAACTAAACATTCCTGGGATCTGTCACTGAGGGGCTATTTTTCCACACTTTAATCATTCCTATGGCTTATTTCTGTCTATTCTTCCTGTACTGCAGTCAGTTACAAACAGAGTAGAGTTTTTTTTTTTTTTAAAAAGCTGATTTATCCGGTTCATGGCATAGGGTAATGCTTGCATAGGGAATAAAATGTTTCAAACAAGATGGTTAGTCACTGCCCATATGATGAGAGTTTCTATTTCAAGACACCTTGCTGTGACATCTTCAGGTGGATCCAGTGAGACTCTCCAGAACCCTTTTTCTACTCTGTTCTTATAGCCAGCTGGCCCAGAGACCATTGTGACCACTCCAGCATGTGCATGGTCTATGGGGGTCTATTGTGTTGACTAGATACAAAGCATCTTCTAACTAATTAACTATGTATAAAACACTGCCCTGTGTGACCACTTCTACAGGAACAGTTTTTACTGACCATTTGCAAATGTCTTGTCCGTGGTGTACAAGTTAATCAATTTTGCAGCAGGAACTGCCTGTGGAGTCTCCAGACTGATGAGATTCCCCTCCCAGGATCTTAATCAACACACTGAGACATACAGAGCCTGAGCTGCCTTAGGGAGTCTTCAGGGCAGCTGGAAATTTCCACCTGGAAACCTGCTCCACCAATGAGTCAAATTCTTGGCTGGGAGTACAGCCCATCCCCTGGTTTCAGCTAAGTCCCTCATCTCAAGCCGGTCCAGCAGTGCAGATGACTAGACTACTTTCTGCACCACCCAGGGGATGAAGTTCCCGGGGTGTCTGCCCAGGCACTACCCTGATGCCTGGCTGAACCACAGTTATAAGATTAATGTGATTGATTGCAATTCTTGTAACGCGAGTTCTGTAGCTCTTGCCACACAATCCATCATTACTTCTGAACAGAAGGCACCAGACCTCCGATGGGCTTCTGTGGGCAATGTATTTTTGAGTGTAATTATTTTTATAGTGCCTCCAAAGAAATAATTCACAAACATGGAGGAAGCCTAAAAATACACAATTTCAGATGAAAGAGGAACAGCATGGAGGACAATGTATAAGCTTATAACAAAGGGATGGTTGGAACTTCTTTCATTTTGACCGTGATTTTTACTTTGTTGCAAAATCTGTTAATTTCCTCCAACCCGTCTCTCTTTGTGCTCACCAACCCCTCTGTCTTTTATTATACCTCAATATCAAAGCTAATCTGGAAGGCCTGTCCCCTAGTAATCATTATGGGAGTTCTGATGATTTGGAAATTATAGCCCTTTTCCATAGGTTCAATGAGATAAAGATGCATATTGGACACTTCTGAAGTGAAAAATCAGAGAAGAAACCAGAAAGCTATAAAGAGATTTCCTGAAGTTTTAATATGCTAGACTGTCGGACTTCTGGTAAGGTGGTGGGACAAAAATGTGGTAACACCATGCTTCACTGGAGATTTGGTGAAAGAGACTAACAGAAATTCGAGATGTTTGCTAGATCTGAGTGTACTGTAGGGGACCATCTGTGGTTTCTGTAAGAAGTATAAATGAAGGATGATCCCAGGAAATGGGGATAAAGTGTTCAGGGTTAAGTAGGGTGTTTTTACAGCCTAGGAATAGGACTGTCTGCTGAACTTTAGTACCAGCTGTCTTGGCTATTTGCTTTCTCTGCTTCTGTTTCAATGTCTTGCCTTAAATATAACCTCACTGCTTTACAGGGGGCTTGCTGCTGATTTACACTGGCATAACTTATAAGGAAAAAGCAAGCCCACTGACTTTATAGTATTTCATTTTTGTAACCAAGAATGGCATAATTTTAAATTACCAAAACTAGATAAGGTTTATAGCCTTAACCTTTATGTAGTTCGTTGTGTCTGAAATCTGAAGTCCCCACATGTTCCACATCCTCAGCACCTTGAAAATCAGGCCACTGAATGCTGTCAGTCTGTGTCACAACATGGCTGTTGATTTGTAGTGAGAAATTTCTTCCCCCAGCCTCTGCTTGATGATCTTACATCTCAAGTCTTTTCAGCAGTTCATTTTATGGAAATGTGTATTTAGTACACATGTGTGGAGGGGAGGCATGTGCTTCTAAATGAATGAGTTGTGCATGGGGTAGCAACTGAGAGCATGTGGGCAGGACTGGGAGCCAAGCACATTCAGGGAAGAAGGAAGAAAAGCTAGTCGATGAGTTGAGATGGTGTGGTCTTGGAAATGGGGGACTGGTTTCCAGAGTGTCAGGCTGTGGAGCTTGGAAGAGTGCTTTTAGCTGGTTGCAGACCTAGCTGTCACAGTAACAGCAGTCCAGCTGAATCAGATCAAGCTGCCTCTGGCACAGTCCTCTTGAGAAAAGATGCAGCTTTCTGAAGCTGCAGAAATTCCTTAAACTCATCCCTGGTGCAGTTTCGCTGAAGCGGTACCCATTGCACTGCCTCCGATTTTCACATCTTAGAGGTGGAGAGCATTTGGTAATGACGAAAGACTGTCATTATGAGAAGTGTTTCTGGCCATGATTATGATCTTAGAAAGAAAAGAGGTAGTGAAGCAGGATGGCCTAAGGGTAAAAGGTCTCCTTTTCCATTAGATGAAAGAGGACTTCTAGTATAGTATGTTAAAATAAATGGTGTTTACAAACAAGTCTTCCTTTCTTTACACTGAGTGCCCATAGCATAGCATAACTTATTACATGTATAATTAAAATACAGTAAATGCACAATAAAATTAATCCTTATTAAAACTGTGGAATAACGGCAGAATCAGTGCATTTCTAGAATTAAGCAATTATTCTGAATGCTGTATTTTTTTCTGGTAAGCCTTGGACTATTAAATGACTGCAGTTATTTAGGACCCTTAAAAATCTGTTTTATGTTTATGTTTCATTAGTCTCCACCCACCCTACCCCCATCAACTGCATTCATCAACTTGATGGCTTGCCCAAGTAAACTGTCTTAAATTTTCCAAGTGCTCTTTTTCCAAATCAAGTTAGATGCAGTATTGCTATTAATCAGATCTGTAACGCAGGGTTTTTAGTCGCTTGTTACTGTAATACTCTGCTCCCTTGCAATGCATGCATATTTATCATTCAGTTTCCCACGTCCTGAATTTTGTACAACAGACAAGAGCAAGAGCTCCAGTACCTCGTTCCTGTAAGGTGGAAGAACATACTTCGTAAATTAGTTTCCATCATGTGGAAAGTCATCAATAATTATCTGTTGATGACCATCCATCTGTTTCTCCCTGCTCCCAAAAGACAGAAGTGGAGCTGCAGCTCTGGGCAACGCCAGAGGGGCGTAAAAGGTGATGAAGCAGGGGATACCCAGGGAGGCATCTTCATCCTTGACTCTTGCTGCTCCCTCTTAGACATGACTAGTGCCTGGAAGATAGTGTTTGTGTTTTCCTCACTGTATGTGGCTGAACTATTGCCACAACTTACTGTGGCTGTCAAAGATCTACATGGGTTCAAAAGCAATTAGACAAATTCATAGAAGAAAAATCTGCTAAGGGGTATTAAACAGAGAGATGCAGCTCTTGTATCAAGACATTACTGAACTGCAGGTTGCTCAAAAGTGAGAAGGTGTCCACTAAGAACATACCACTGTGTGATTTTCTTGTCTGCGTACGTTTTCTCTAGGTGTTCATGAAGAGCGACTGTTGGAGACAGGATATAGGGCTAAACAGATCTTTGGTGAGACCTGGCAGGACCTTTCTTATGTTCTTAAGTAGGGTAAAAGATAAAGTGAATGTTTGCTAATACTAGCATCTGATGGATCAGTACAATTTGATTAATTTCAGCAGCAATTGATCTGAAAAATGAGACCACTAATGTGAAAAAAAGATCATTTTATGCATAACTAAAGCCAGTAGAAACTTTCCAGCCATAACTAGTAGTAGCGCCCTTCCTCATTGCAAAAAATTACAGGGAAATGAAGGCTCTAGGGCTATTTAATTGTGAAGAATCAATTAGATAAATGTGTACTTCTTTTGATTTGCTGGGCTTTTTAAATTATACAGCTGCAGACATCATGGAAGCTATGAGTATTTATATCTCAACCGTATGTAGGCAACACTAAGAAATATTAGTTCAATAATTGTAATGATAGCTGTACTCAAATCAAAATGAAATTGTTAAAAAAAGAAAAACCTCTTATTTATTTCCTTAATAGACATTTCTATGGTACTCATCATGGCAGAAAGAGAGTGCTGAATACTTTGAGGAAGATTAAATTATTTGTAATTATACCACAAGTGGAAGCTTTTAACCAACGAAAAAAAAATGTGGAGCTACCCTGAGATTAATCGTTCTCACTAAGATGACTGCTAAATTTTTTAAGTAATGCTGTGAACTTCCCCAGCACCTTTCATCCAGGCTTTCAAAATATTTTACAAACACAGATGAAGTTTACCCTCATAACATCTTTGAAAAATAAGCATCACTATTCCCACTGCACCAGTAAGGAAGCCAAGATATAGAGAAAGGACATGTAGAGATCATGTTAATTTTGTATTTCACAGGAATTCAGAAAAATCGAATCCTATAGCAGAAAACAGTGGCAGAAGGCACCATGCATTTATGGTTGTGGCACACTTACCCAGCTATGGATGAACACCCTTAGGTATACTATACCCTCAATGCATAGTTAAATTCTGTTCTTTCCTTCTCTTTCCCCTTAAGATAACAACAACAATGACAATAACAGTTTTACATGTGTACATATGTAATATACATAATATACTTCTATAACATGTATGTACATATGCATAGCTCTCCTTCCAGTAGAAAAGATAATTCTGGTACAGGGGAAGTGTTTGCAAATACACTTTTTTTCACGACTAGGACGTATTTTCATTTTTATTTCCCTCCCTTCTCAGTGCTGCCTCAAAGATCCCCCCTGGCAATTTGAACCTGTCCTCAACTCCTCAGTTACTAAAATCCCAGATGCTTTTTCAGTGCCAGCTTGTCATTAAGATGCCAGTTTTAACACTCTTTCATTTAAAAAGATCAGCTCCTTGCTCCTGCAATCATCTCCATGTGTACTGACCCTCTCAGAGTTCTGTCCACTCCAATGCAATTTCAACATCTGTCCTTAAATGTGAAATGTTGAACAGTTCCCAATTCAGCTTTGAGATTGGAAAATGAGCTAAAAGAAGCTGTAAAGTCCGCAAGCTACCGTTTGCCATGATGGATAGGGAAGAGAATGTTTAAAGCTGATTTTTTGTTCCGTTACCTTCTTGTCCCTCACCCGACTGCACCTATTATCTCTTCTTCAGCTATCTTCCCCCAGTGCAACCTCACATGTCCTTAGCAGAAGATGTATAACAGGTGAGCAGATGAAGAGTACATTAACTTAATTGCTGCCATTCATTCCTTACAAACCACAATATATTTTTCAACAAAATAATTGAAGTGGTTTGAGGCAGTAATATGCATCTTGATATGTGCATCTCATCCAGAGCTTAAATACCTTTACTTATTCCTTCTACGCTGGCTACTGTTCTGACTTTGCAAGGTGAGAAAAGCAGCTAATGGTTGCTGAATGCATCATTCAGGACCAGGACATGCAGCCAAAGGGCCATCACAAAACCTGCAACTGGATAAGAAACAAGTGCTGCCCTTCGCTTCTGTCTGAGATGACCTTGCAGGACTTATTTTTGGTAGGAAAGAGGACAAATTTCTCTTCTGTCTCTCTAACTATCTGTCTAGCTATGAAGGACATTCCACATTTATCTCCAGTTGCTACTGAAAATCTGATTCTTCGGCTTTTAATAAAACCACTGCAGCCAGGGCTACCTTCTTCCTCAGGGAGTGACAGTGAGTTCAGGAGACCCTACCCACAACAGCTCCTGACGCAGCTCGAAAGCGAGCGACTGCTTCTAAGAGCGAGTTAAAGCACTCAGGTGAGTCTCTAGCTCTGAACTGGCTCTCTCACCTGGTGAAATAGGCTTATTTGTGAAACTTCTTGATGGAGTGATAGACTTTCCCACCTACCTTCTGCAGCACCAGCACTGTGTTAGCGTTGCAGCATTTGTACACGCTCACTCGGTAGTGAAAGACGTCTGTGGTTGCAGATCCATATGGTCCATCCACGGCCACTCTACAGCAACAAGACGTTTAGTCAAGGGTCAGCAGCATATCAAGTGACAGGAAGGTTAAAATATGTTGGGCTACATATTTTCAAAACTGAACTTCTGTTAAAAGAGAAAAGACATGTCTAGGCTGGCACACAAATTACCCGTACAAACACATCTAATTTTCAGTGGGTACCATTTAATAGCAAAGCAACTGTGTTTTGCTGAAATGAGAGAACAAGAGCACCCATGTGGTTTTGGGGCCTGGCCATCTATTTAAGCATGCAATTGCAATTTTCTGGCTTTCTGAAATGCGATTAGTCATATAATTGCATGTCCAAATTTAGCTGTGGAATCTGCATATTTAATTATGAATTACTGAAAAGCATCCTGGTTTAGAACTGTATTTTCTATATTCTATATATCAAATAAAGAGGAAAAGATCAATCATTTTGAAAAGTTCTCTATATGTGTTAAATTAATAAATGAGAAAGCAAGAGAGTGGTCATCATATGCAAGGAAACTACTATTTTCTCAACTCTTTCTGAAAAAAAGGTATTTCAGAAATACATTTTTGGCAATAATACTGTATTTAGTATCTGACATAAAGACGATATTTGTAAGGAGAAATGCTTGTGTATGTTACTACCTCCTACAATCAACGTTGCTGATGCTGAGGCATTCATTTTGGTCAAAATTAGAGCTGAAAAAATTGTTAAATAATCAGATTCGTTCCTCTAGCGACATGGAGTGTAAATACACACAGCACTTTGGAGTGCTCTGCCCATTCTGTCTTTAAATAACATAAATGCTCTGGAAGATAGTTTCACTAACACCTGGTCCTTAGAAAAGATGAGTTTTTTCCTTGTTTCAGATTTTCTATTGCTTGGTACTCTTTATTGTATGAATCATCTTTAAAATTCAGCTCAAATACTACAACCAAAGCATATTTCATTTGCACACGTCACATGGTTCATTTTTATTTCAGTATTCCAAATGCTCTGCAAGTGCAGTAGCAAATGAAACAGCTACTCACGGACAACTTTTGAAAATCTGCCCTTGGATATGAACAAAATAAGCTATTTAAAAAATATATATCGTTGTTCAGATTAATGCCCAGCTCTGTATGTTTTGAGAACTCAAAACTTCCTGTAAAATACGTTTAATTTAGGGAATATATCTAAAATGCCCAAGAACTGTTTTCAGGTAAGCTTTCTACGTAGTTCAATGTGGGCTTGGGAGCAGTTCTCATTACTGTTAGTAGATTGACAAAAAATTGATCTGAAGGAATTGCAAGAGATTCTTTGATCTATCTCTGTGCTACAAGACAGGATCAATTATTTCTGAATCATTTCTTACAGACATTTGTCTTGTCAGTCTGCTCCTAGTTCCTCAGGTGACAGAGATCCCATCACTGGTTTGAATGCCTTGCTCAGCCACAGCTTGAGAGCTTAGCCAAATACAGACTGAGAGATGTAGAGAGGAGAAAACAGAGAAAGAAAAACTGAGCTATACAACCCATTCATTTGATCTAGAAAGGGTGGAGGAATGTAGGAAGATAGAAAACAGAGTGACAAAAAATATTACATTTGAATCTGCCAAGGGAGGAGTAGAAAATAGGGCTAAAGATTGTTTCTAGCTATGGCTTGGATTGTCCATATTCTTTGTGTCCATCTACACAATTTCATTAGAAAGAAGCATTATACTTTTTGGGAAGACAGGCAAAATACTTAGTTTTGGAAAAGTAACACGAGCAGATTCTCGAATTATTTTTAGAATTTAAATGTTTGCTCATCAGCATGATTATAGAATCACAGATTCATAGAATCACAGAATCATAGGTTGGAAAAGACCTCTAAGATCATCAAGTCCAACCATCCACCCAACACCACCATGCCTGCTAAACCATATCCCAAAGTGCCACATCTACACGTGTTTTAAACACCTCCAGGGATAGGGACTCCACCACCTCCCTGGGCAGCCTGTTCCAATGCCTGACCACTCTTTCAGTAAATGTCTCCTAATATCTAATCTAAACCTCCCCTCATGCAACTTGAGGCCATTGCCTCTTGTCCCATTGCTAGTTACATGAGAGAAGAGACCCACACCTGCCTCACTACAACCTCCTTTCAGGTAGTTGTAGAGAGCAATAAGGTACCCCCTCAGCCTCCTCTTCTCCAGACTAAACAGCCCCAGAGGTAGTACTCCTGACTGAAGAGAAGTTGGGTTTTGGGACAGTGTACTAAAACAGCAATTAAGTGAGCCAAAATCCCAAGGAAGCATAATATGGAACTTGATTATTTTCACAGGAATGGTCTATTCTATGATCTTATCTCTCAAATCGACCAGCAATCACAACTATCTTTTCTAGCTGTATAAATGCACATATATTTTATTTTAGTCTTCTTTTATTAATTAAAATATACATATTTTATTGCTAGATCTTACCTTATCATTCAGTTGCTACATGGCTACTGTCTCTGCTCAGTTTCTGCTATATGTTATTTTTTAATATAGTCACCAATTCGGTGTTTATCCTTAGATATTGAAACCTGTGAAAAAGACTTGCTTTTTGCTTTATTGCTAGCTTAACTATTGAAATATTTGTTTTAATATATTGCAAGAAAGCAACTGAATGATGGTGTTAGGCAGCCTAACAAGATTAAAAAGAAGAGTCTTTGTATATGACAGCGCTGTTAATTTCAGCCCTGTATTGTGGCCAACAACGTTTGATAATATTTTTCTCTTTCTCATTCTTTACACTGGCTGTCAATCACTGTGGACCATTTTTGCTCCAGTTCTGCTGAAACGGCATACTTCTCATTCCAGTTGCCTTTGACAAAGGCACAGCTTTCATTTCTAATTCTTATTAACTGATATAATGCAAAGAGTGGACCCAACTTCTCTGCCCTACCTTCTAATGTGCCTCTGTAGCTCAGTGGTGTCTATAAGCTTTTTAGCTTCTTTAGCATCCAAGTCCCATTAAATTATGTAAACATAGTTAAACAGGTGCCTTTTGCTGTTCTGTTTTGCTAGAACTCCCTCATCAAAAGCAATTTTCCAGGGGGAAAACAGTCCCTTCAGTCCCAGGCCCTACACACTCCTCCAGAACTGAAATGATCCCATGCTGGGCTCTTTTCCGAAAATCTCCACAACGCTTGCAAGGAGCTAAGTGGTTTGAATCCATTACGTGTAGAACCAGATTCTTAGCTGGTGTAAGTCTGGATGGCTCCATTAGCATCAGCGGAGCCCTGCTGACTTGTAACAATGAAGTATCAACCTTCTTCTTGAATTAAGATGCCATAGATACAGAATTTGAACACTGATAGCATTTATAAAGCGGAGAAGGGTTTGGAGACCAGAGAAGTAGTTGACGGAGGCTACTGGAAAGAAGTAAGGTTCAGACAGAAGTTTCTGAGGCCACAAAACATCTAATAACTGAAGGGAAAAGCTGGAAGTTTGGATGGCAGGTGGTGGGTGCCATCAGAGCACAAGCATATAGGCACAAAGCTAGCAGATATCTTCTACTGTTATTTTCATTCAGTTCGTAAGCACCTATCTGTCAAAATGGATATGTTTAGATATAGATATAGATGTTAGAGATTTAGATGACAGTGACAGATACATAGATATTGATATGGACTTTAAATCTTGTGTTAGTGATCAGATTCTTTTGACAGCAATTGGCCTAAATTCACAACTGTGTTTATTTGTGGGTTTTTAGCATAATGTTGTATTTATAGACCCAGAACTACGATCTAATGTTGTCTCATAAAGAACACACACAAAATTAATTAAAGTTAAAATGTTAACATTTATTTTAAAATGTAGAATTAATATTTTAAAATGTATTGTTTGCAATTCAAACCTTGGTAACATCCACAATTCCTTGAAAGCTTTTTCCTCAGCTCCAAAGGCCTTGAAGAGGGCTGTAGTCCAATCCCCGACAACACGTATGTGAACACTGAAGAAGTCCTCCTCGGGAGCTGAGGTGAGAGTGAAAGGGTGCCACTCCAGCTGTGAGACAGATGGGCACTGTAGAAAGATATATTGACCAGGTCCCATTTTAAAGCCACGTTTCTTCATTTGAAGCTCAAGGACTCCAGAGGAATGTGTCACTACCTAAACAATAATAAAAGGACCTGTTTTATTTTCCTTCAGAAGAGTAACTGTTTGTTTCCATTAGGTTATGGATGATATCTACCTGAGTTCAGCCACAAGATAATGCAAATTGAGATGCACAGTAATTTTCAAGTGTTGTGTAGATTATGGCCTGAACTGCATGTTGCAGTGCTGTTGCTGCCCAACAGCTTGGGAGCACATACAGCGTGTATCGTGGGGCCGCTTGCTTTTTGAGTGTAAGGTTGTAACAATTCAACAATTTGTCAACTTTCTACCTTAGTAGAGCCTATGCAAAAGTATTCCTTAAGAGAGTGGAATAATTTCCCAGTTTTACTGTCATGTAACACATGTATGGGATTATTGTTGGCTTGGCAAGAAGAAAAAAGCCCAGTGAGCTCAATTCTAGTATGCTTTTATTAAGAGGTAATCTCAGTTAAGCAGCCAGTTTTATGTCACACACAGTATACTGAGATTCTCAGATCACAGCCACTCTAAAATCAGCAGCAAGTCTTATCCGACATGCTTTTCCCCTCACACAAGATAAGCCTGTTTCTGATCGTTGTCTTGATACATTTGGACACGGCTACTTCAGCAGAGGCATTGCCCATCCATTCTGCTGTGACTTAAACAGGTCTTTAGCACGCAGACATATTTACAACTGGGATAAATTGCTACAATGGTATTAATGAAGCTTCAACTATTTATGCTAACTGATAATATAACCCTTAATCTCTGTGGAAGGCTCCAGATTTGAAAGTAAAAACCATGTCCTACTGAAGTCGAAGTCCTGCAAAGACACGTCTCTTCCATTCGCTCCAGTGGAACATGGTTTTCAGCTCAGTAAGAAGAGAGACTGTCTGTGGAGAGGTTTGTGTTATGGTGGTGTAGCCTTGTAAGTCTGGGACTTCATTAATCAAGTCTGGTCCCATATGGAATATTCTTATGGACTTGCTATTGGAATAAATGCAAAACCTAAAATCAATACTTGGCTGAAACCACGGTAATGATGGAAGAGCTGCTGAAGCTATGAGTGAAAAATGAGATCATAATGTAAAGGAGTTATCTATAAAAGATAAAAAAAAAGGTCATTGACATCATAACTTTTTGTTTGCGCAGACAATGCAAGCTATGTTACATACCTTAGTAATGACAACCTCCTGTTGAAATCTCCAAAATCTAACAATTCTTTCACAGATATACAGCACCATAGGACTTAAAACCCACTTCCAAGCCTGTAGAAAGTTACATGTTAAAAAAAGAACATTTATTTTAATTTCTAGAAACATATTTTGCATTTCTGGTTTAAAGCAGCAGGTAGCCTAAAATGAAATTATTTGATTTCTCTTCTATGATTCTTGGTTTACTTTTCTCAAGACAGTATTTCTGCTGCTACTGTAGCAGTTCTGGCTCTCATGTGGAGCAGACATATGGGACTCCTTCACAGACGCACTGCAAAAGTGGTGCTAATATCTATCTGTATTCTGGCCAAGAAGAGTCCTTTAAAATCTTTTCCTACTAAAAGGCAAAAGGATTAATCTATTTAGGTGTTACATATAGACGTCATTGGACCTGTAGACATAAAGATGCATACATTTATGCAATATTACCCATAGTCTTGCTATTCTTTTGCTCTTCAAAGTCTGAAATATTTCAGAAAGGTCAGATAGGAGTAGCTTTCATTGTCAGCTGTGAGTTTTCTGATGCTGCACGAGTCCCAAATATTCAATTAGAGGAATGGTATATATTTCCATTTAATCCATTAGTTGGCTCTGTATCAATAAATATGTTTTTTTGATCTAGGATACTAAGCTGGTCATACTTTAAGTGTTTCAGATGATTGCTGTGCTTGTACTTGCTAATTGTATGTACTGATCACTATAGCAATCAAAGATACTTGGCTATTCAAGTATACTAGCTGATGATTTCACTGAGTTGCATTGATAGCAAAGATAATTAGATGTAATTGAATCGTCATGATTTTAAAAGTCTTTTCTTTTTCTAGAAGGGATACTGTTTTATTTCCAGTTTTTTTAATTACACAGTTCATGCTAACAAACTCGTCGCTCCACAATCATGCGGCTTTTAAGATCTCCGAAGAGTAGCTTTACTTGCTGAAACATTGACTTTGCTCCACAAGCTGAGTAACAGGGGTTATAAAGTATCTTTTATGAGAAGCAAAACATAAAATTATGTGGCTTCCTTAGAAAGTGCTAAAAGGATGGAGTGGCAATTTCCCAAGGTTAAGTCTTGAAAATTAAATTAAAAAAATGCATGATTTAATAATGGGAATAAACCAACATAAGCCAGAAGATTCTCAGTTAAAGCAGAAACTCAACACATCCGTTGTCCCTAAATACTACAGGTGTCTCTGCACAGTGGGTAATCTCACGTGTCCTGAATATATTTGCATATATCAAGCCACACTAATGATGAGACCTGTTTTTCCTCCCTTCCATTTGTGCTACCTGTAAATAAAAGCACGTGACGGGAATGTTAAGGCTGCAGGCTACCCTATGCGAGAGCTCAGCTGAGATTTCAAACGCGCCATCACTCCAGTGCAATGGAGCATTCAATCCAAAATATCTTTTGGCTGGGTTGGGACAACAAGTCATCCACCAGGAGGAGTGGGCTGCCAGGCAACATGACTCCTGGCTGGGTAATCAGGGCATTGCTATTCTTGCCCAAGTGGTGTTTCCTCCTGTAATGAGAATGAACTGAAATGGGGCAGTGATGGCTCAGCTGACACTATGAGGATAAATGTCTGGATGCCCCAGATGCAGCAGAAGTGCTTCAGCATCCTCAGTGGGAGCCAGTTCAGGCTCCTACCAGCTGAAATACAGAGCAAGGGAGCAGAAGTGGCAAGACTGAGAGAAGGGTTCCACCATGGTAGCCTCCCCCAGGAACTGTGTCAGTCACCCCACGCAATCCCAGCTGTGCACAAAGCTGTCCCCTCCCTGCTCGGTCATGTCTGCACCTGCCCCTGCCAGTGCTGAGCAGGTCTCACCACAGCTTTGTAGCCTCTGAATGAACTCGTGCCAACCATGGTGTCTAGCAGGTATCACACCATAGCATGTTACCCGGCCAGCAAAGAACTGGTCTTATAGACAATCTGTATGCCATATGGTATTACCACAATTCTTTTAATGTAATGTGACTTTGCAAGTATGGCCTTCAGTATGCAGGAAAGTGTGGCAAAATAGGTTTAATTCAGAGAAATGGAAGTTCTCTCCAGTTAGCTTTATGATAATGAATGTGAAGACATGCTGTTGGAAGCAAGCTTGTGTCTGTATTCATGGTGCGTAGCCATGTATTGATTTTTATGGCGACATTGTAGCTGAAATTTTTAGAGAGGCATTCATTTTCTCATTAATATGCAGGTTGGATAGTGGCTAACAATAGTTTAGTTCAAGAAAAGTCTATGTCAGCCATTAAAAAAGCTACGAGACACTGCATGCTAATTTTTCTCCTTTACTATACGATTTCTTTTGGTATGTTTTCTCTTTTTGGAAGAAGCAACAAAAACTTGCATATGAGCAAGCTAAATCTTGAGCTGTAAATGTTAAATGATTTTGTTTGGATGCTAGACATCTGACATACTGTACAAGTCTGCTGCTTAATTACCCCCTGTGGATTTGCAGTCTTGTTGCAGCAAAACCACCCTTCCATGGGACATTTTTCCTGCCTTTCGCCTTTCCCTTTCGTAATTCATTGTTTCAAATTCTCTCATTTTTACCTAACTTAGGACTTCAAGGCTAGATGATATGAAGCATGTGCCCCAAAGCAAGGACATAATTTTATCTCAAACTTATTCTCCCTTGGTATTTAGACTATCCATATTAAAGTATTATTAGTTAAAATAATAATATTAATTTACATCCCTAGCTTTGCTGTTGCATTGTATTTTCTGTATCTCTACCCTCATAAGATTTTTACTTGGAGGCTCTGTTTGTGCAATGAACACATCAAGGATATTGGTGATACTGAATAATTAAAAATAAATGTACACAACAGATGTAAGTAGAGTACACTTCTGAAATCCGTACACTTCAAAGGGAGTGTTGCCTAACTAAAGGATCTTCCAGAAATAAAAATTTTTATTAATAACACCAAAACTTTACACATTGCTCTTCATCTGTACCTGCCTATACTGACTGTACAGGAGGTCAGGATCAATGTCCTAATGCACAGGGAGAGGTCATGGAACAGAAATGTGAAACTGCCCTCTAACCATGACACTAAGTGCCAGTCACTAGCATACACTCCAGCTCCCTACCACCTGAGACTTTTGGCCTCCCAAGGAAGGACATGAAGTTAAAAGCAGAAGATAAACATCACTCTTACCACAGGTTTGTTGCCAGAAAACTGCGGCAAAGGGCACTGAGTGGCGTTCTCCCATTCCAAGTAGTGATCCTTACAGTAAGTGGCGTTATGAAGCAGCAGACTCTGAGATGTCTGACCTCGCACAAGCTGACTTAAAACAAAAATGTTCATCAGTGATATGCTTCTTTGCAACGTTTCCACGCATCTGTTGGTTTTGCACTAGTAGTCAAATGCAGATTCGGAGATAACTGAAAGTTCAAGAACTGCCCATTTCAACCCTATTCTGCTCCCTTGTTCAAATTACCTTTCCTTTAGCTTTGCCGTGACTTTTTTACCAAATGCAAGAGGTGTGTTATGGTATTGGTATACATTAATGCAGCAGAAGTGTGGAGAGTCCTTGTGTAGAAAATGTACATTTTGCTGATTGTGGCAAAGTTAGAATGATTTCCAAGTTCTTTGGAGCAGACACTTTGACCTCCTCTGTGTATGAGCATCTGGTATTGTTTAGAAAAATAATAAAATTTAATACTGGCAGACCTTCTCTTTCCTTTTCTGCCTTCTAAATGCATTTTTAAAAGCTGCAAATAAAGTTGGAGGACCGTAATTAGATGTGTACTCTCTAAAAATATTAAATTCTAGCTTCTTTACTTCAGAGAATGTTAATGATGTGAATTTTCCCAAACATATCAGTCCTGACTGTTCAGTTTAAATGGGTTTCAGCTGGTGTTGATTATGGGTAGAGAAGGAAGATTTTTATGGGGAAACCCTGTTTGTTTCATATTGTTTCTCTGATTTTTCCCTTCCATACTTACTTTGGCTCTACAACATTAGCTTGTCCTGCCCACTAGCCTGAGGAGATAAGAAGGCAGTGTCATCAGCTGCTACCAGTTCAGACAGAAAGACAGAAAAGGAGGTAGGCTCGAGTGAGTTTTGTTCAGTCACCTGGGAAGGAGAAGGCGGTGGGAAGTGAATGAAACCTTGGGTTCTGACTCCTTTTCATAAATGGGGTAGTGGTAGGGATGTGCTGGGGCAACAGGGAGCTGCTCTGTTGCACTGCGCTCCCAGCCTGGAGCAAGCAGCGTGCTCATTGAATGCTGTCGAAAGGGCATTCTCTTGCTGAGGAGAGCTGATCGGCTGGCTAAGCAGAGGGAGCTTACAAAGCTGAGGGTTTAAAGGGTTCATTATAGTTGTCTGAAATTGGATTCTAAAAGATTTTCCGGAGAGAGAGGGGAAGGCTCCATTTTAATCAGGCTGGGATACAGTTTACAGCATTTGTTTGCAGCTGTGCCCCTGAAGCTTGGGACTAATTAATTGGGCAAATTTCAGGAACAGTCAAAGCCAAACTGAATGTGGCAGCTCTCAAACCGCAAGGAAAGAGGTGAGAAAAATAACACTCCACAAAACATCGTACTGGCCCGTTCGCTGCCCTCTGGTGACGCCACGTACCTCCAGGGAACAGGCAGACACTCACGCTGCTGTGGGATAGGAAATTCCACTCTGTCAAAGAGTGATGGTCTGTATGTTCTTAAGTGGTGGGCAATGCATCTGAATGTTTTGCGAAACAGACATAAAAAGTGTATTATGATAACACCAAGTGACCCTGTCCTTAGATCTGAAAAGCTTTACCACAGCTCAAGGCCATGTGTACACTAGATAGTCAGCAAGAAAAGATCTACGGAGCAAAGCAGTCTTTGGTGAGGGCCTCGCACTGGACACATTTGAGGGTTATGTAGGGCTTAGGACTAGGTCTGGCTTGATCCTGTGAATAGCTCACTTGTTAGTGCTTGGCACACAGAGATGTGTTTGTGTCAGTGTAGTTTCATCCCAAAATGCTGTATTATGCAGCCCAAGGTTGCGCCATGGTATAAACCAAAGCATAGCAGGTGAAGGGGACCACAAGATTTGCATCAAAATTGCACTCCCTATCTGAATTAAAATGAAAATGTAGATGCGCAGCTGTAGATTCACATTAACACTATTGCAAAGAAGTGAGAAAAGGAAATGGAAGCACGCAAGGGAGAAAAAGCAGATGTCAGTGGAGCTGGATACAGAAGATGGAAATCTTTTCATCAGTAGGCACCTTTTTGCTCTCACTCTGCATCAACAGGAGATTTATCAGCCCCTGAACTTCGCAGGGAGGCTCCCCCGACCCTGCTGTCCCTTGGTGTGAGAACCGGAGCCCGGTACCAACAGATCAGACCTTCCTCTTGTGCTGAGGAACAGGGAGACAATCAGTGACCTGGCAGCCATCCCTCTCCATAAACTCTGCCTGACTGGGCTAGTCACAAACTTGAGTTGTTTGTTACCGTAGACATTTAAACCTGGTTCACAGTATAGTGCCTGCTTCTCCATGGTGAGGAAATTTGGGGTTCTTTTCCCCACAGACAGAAAAGGGCAAAACCACTTTGCGTTTATGGATGTAGGGGAGAATGGGCACAGGGACATTCGCCACCAAGTAGCTGGCATGCTGAAAGCTTGTCCAGCTTGTCCAAGCTCTCTCACAAAATGCCTTGCGAGAGCTATGACCATAAAGTCTATCCCTAATTAATTTGAACCCACAAAGGTCTGATTCCTAATCTGCGATGTCCCCAAATCTCAGGGATGACAGTTCATTTGGACTGACGCATTGATAAGGTGCAGGTTGTAAGATGCTGTAAGAGTGGTTAAAAAAACTAAATCTCACTTTTAGTCCTCAGAAAAGTGCTGTGTTTTAATTTCAAAATGCTTTCCTTTTGCATTCTGTCTCCAAGCAAAGATCCCAGCAGTTTGTTAATAGAAAAGCACAGGATTATAGATTTGAATCGTGTTTCATCTCAAACTGTGTACATATACCCCATGTAGTTTATGCAGACACTTACCCCATGCCATGGATTATTAAACCAATAAAGAAAACCACAAAGAGGTGGTGGGTGTACCAGAACACCTCATAACACGACCTTCTGACGAGCTCGGTGGATGAAGTCATGATCAGAATTAAAGCCACAGTTATCATGACTCCAGTTACTCCAGCTATGGTGTTTAGTACCTCTCCTGTTGTGTTCTAGAATGAGAATACAGTATTAGTATTAGCATTTGCATTTGCATTTACATTAGTATTATTAGTTGTTTTTGTAGTTGTTATTTTTATTACTTCTTCTGTTGCTGTTACTATTGTTACTGTTTTTGCTATTATGTATGAATCCAAAACTGAAGATACATTTTCAGCATCGGAGCAAAAGGAGAACAAGACATGGAGTCAAGGCAAGCCTCCATTTTCCAGCAGAAGAGCATGGAAAAACATCCCTCCCTTCTATTCCCACTCAGGCTTATCCCAGGCAGATGTGTAAATGTTTGCTGCAACTTATTGTTTCAGGAATCAAAATGAGGAAATTTGTGTCATTAGTATTTTTATCTATTTTGCTTATGTAAAATTGTCTCAGAAAAAAAAGAAAAATTTTTAGAGAAGCGGGAAACCTAGAACTGTAATAAGCAAAACAGCACTAGAAAGCAACTTACTCATATGAGGGTGATAAAGTGACGTGCTAGGATACCTGCAACCATAAAGGTGTGTGGCCCTGGTGCTTATTTTACTTCAAAGTTTGTGGGGTTTCAGCAGATCTGAAGTGGTGTATCAAATGAGTGGCTCTCATATACCTAAACAGCCCATCTCCTTTACCTGTTTTCTACATTTACCTGAAGATATATTGGATAATACCTGGGTTTATTTTTTAAAAGACATATTTATATTTACGTTTTTTTATGCTTATCGGTGATGAAACATGAATATACTGGGCTTCAACATGTTCTTTCTTGTTCATGACTCACAGACATCAGTGCAGATCTGTTACATCTGTCTAAACTCACCAAAATAAACTGAAGTGAGAATGAAGATGTATTTTGAACACAACAGTCAGATGCTGATCTCAATTATAAAGTGCAAATTGTGAAGAATAGCAGTAAAAATCTCACATGCAAGATGAGACTCAAGCTAAATATGCCAGCAGAGTGTAAATGAAGTCCTCATTTGGCCTGCAAAAGCATATATATCTGTTTTCCTGGTGCTGATGCACAGGAATGAAGGCGCTCAGCACGCCTTCTGGATCCTGTGTTGGTTCTACAGCTTAATACACTAGGAGAAAAAAAATCCTCTGTTGTGCTTGTAAAGTGCACTCATATGATATGGAAATCCTTGAGGTGATAAAATTCCACAATGCCATTTTTGCAGTCACTTTTTACAGTAGAATCATTCTTTCAAATGTTCACACTTGACAGCACACAGTACATTTTCAAATTGGTGCCTGTGAAGACTGTGTTCAGATCCTATTACATATTAACAGGATTGATCTATGTGATATTTTGAACATTTCCATCACAGTGGCTAGTCTGAATGTTGAGATGAAACATGGAAAAATGTCAAAGACACTTAGTGCATTGCTGCTGCAGGGGTAGGACGGAACTGAAAAAAATGCCTGAATTGTTGTTCTCAGAACTTTCTTCTCTGAAGTTAGAAGCAATATTTTATTTGCTTTCCTTCATAATTTATTAATTCTGAGTGTAGCTACTGACACACGAGTGGACAAAAAAAGAAATATATATGTTAGAGGTTAGAGTAAAATCTAGGCTGATAATTATGGGGCATATTACTGTGAGAAATCTGGGAAAGGATCTTAGAAAATGCTAGCCTTTCTCCTCAAGGATATTTTTTAGGATCTTGGTGTTAATTAGAGTCCTACCTCACAATTATTTCACCATGGGAAGGCTTAGTGTAGAAAAAAATGCATGCTGAAAAACAGTAAATTCCTATTCAGAGCTGTGAGCTCTGTTCTGTTCTTGGGGAACATCTCACGTGCATGTGGTGAGAGTGGGCACCAGGGGTGCAGAAACACTGGGCAGCTTCGTCCCTGCTTGCCGTCCTGTTCTGATAAAACTAACTGCTTTGTCAACACTAACATCAAGACTTTTGTGTTCATACCATTGAGATCGATTATTTGCTTGGTTTTCTTCAAACTTGAGAATTGTTCTCTGGAGATATTCAAGCCCCGCCTGGACAAGGTCCTGTGCAGCTTGCTGTAGGTGACCCTGCTTCGGCAGGAGGGTTGGACTAGATGACCCACAGAGGTCCCTTCCAACCCCTACTATTCTGTGATTCTGTGATTCTGTTTACTTGTTTGTTTGGAAAGATGAAAATATCTAAACTGAAAAGGAACAGAGAAAAAACAGGACAAAATGCCTTGTAACTGAAAAATCCTGTCGAAACCTACTGACGGTTGTCCAGCCATCATCTCACTTTGTTTCTTCTTTCAGTGGAGCACACAGCTGACCGAAAGAGCCCCGCACCGTGTTCATGCAGCATTTATTGCGTGCTGGCTGTGTGGGAAAGTTACTCTAAAGAGCAGAAACACTGTGTGGGAATCTCACCAGGGTCAGTTCAACCCTGGAAGATACAAAAGCATGCAATGGTATACACAAGCAAACAAATAATATCTATGTGGTGTATAGTATGATGGAATAAGGAAAACAGATGATTAATTTTTGCATGCTTTACATGCATGCATTGCAGAAAGGATCTGTTTTTCTTTATGAGTAATATAAACAATAGCTTCTCTACCCGTGCTGGTTTGAGATAGCCAAGGAAGTGGACAGGAGACAGAATCACTTTTCTTCCCCAAAGCAAGAAGAGTCATTCGTTTTCAGGGCTGAGGTGCTCACAGTCCTGCTTGTCTCTGAAGAGCACGCACCAGCACTAGCTTCCCAGTGCGCTGACTCCTGTGTGCAGCAGTCCTCTGGGTGGTTTTGCGTGTGCTCTTCCCCGGACAGCCACACTCAACAGGGCAGAATCAACCCCCAGATTGGGAAGACACTGTGCAACCATGGGGAGAGGCAAATAGCAACTGTGAAAGAAGTATTGTTATGTGATGTTGGGTTTTTTTCTTTCTGGAAAGAAGTTGTATTTGTTCCGTATGTTGTTAGTTTAGATTAGTTTTTTAAAATTCTTTGCAGGTTTGTTTCATTGTCTACTTGACAAACTAATTAAAATACTGTAGACATTTCTTTGAGCTTAGTAACCTGAAAATTGCAGCTCTGAGTAAGTGTTTTGAGCTGAAATTGAGGTTAACCTTTGGCAACTCCTTGCTCTGGTTAAAAGGCTTTGAAATACAGTTTTACCGACAATGGAATCCACAGAGGAGAACTTTTTAGATGAGGAAAACCAAAAAGTGACAGCTTACTGTTTCATAGGTCCTGATTGGGTTCAAGTAGCTTTCATTCGGGCTGTTGCCAAGACCAGAAAGTTTATTCCGTAACTCCCCCGCTTCCTTTGACTGGCTGGTATGATACCGCTCGATGTTGATCAAGTGGGCAACAATATGGATGGCTGCATGAGAGTGGTGTGGAATTACAGACACATTTGTACTTGTCCACAGTGCCAGAAGGAACTTCGTTAAGCACACTATAAGCTATTTGAAAAGCTTGGGCGTAAACTGAGAGCTTTGCATAGGTTAAGCTGACAATAAAAGGAAAATTTTATCAAATACGTGTCTAGTATGGAGCAACTGCTTCTCAGTGGAGAAGAGAGGAACAGCTCCAGGGTCAAGTCTCACGTTTGCAGTCAAGTGCCCTGCAGTCTTCAGTGTCATCAAAGTAGGACCTCTTGAGAGATGATATAAAGGTGTTTGCCTCTGACTTTAAATTGTTCAAAATGAGGTAACTCATTCAAATCCCTATTTTTTTTTAATGTACTAGGATGTGCCAAGGTCTAATATTGCTACGCAGGACACGAACTTGTCAGTTTTAGCCACAGACAAGTTTGCAGCTTGCACCAGGGGTATTTAAGAGATGCAGTCGAAATCTGTCCCCTATTAACAAGTAGCTATAGCATTACTTTATGCAGGTGGAGCCTGGGGAAACCACAGGAATGACAATTTTAAGAGAGAAGTCTGAATCACAGTGTTAGATCTGATTTACCCTGAGCATCATATATCATCTCTACTTCTGGCCTGCTCCCAAAAGCTATATGAAATGGTCAGTTTAGAAAAATGCCTTAGACTGAAGTAAGAACTTCCCTCTAATTCTTTTCCTGAGTGGAATGATGAAAATTTCAAAAGAGGGAAAAAAGAAGGACTTTGTTTTATTATTGGCTAACATAGATAAAGTTGTGATAATGCCAGGTGCAGGGATTCAGTTTTCAATATGAGAGATTATCAAATCCATTACAGGAAAGATGTAGTTAATCAAAATACTAAACGCCAAAGGACAAAAAAATGACAATGAAAAACAATTATATGTTTACAGTAGAGCTATTAGAATATGCTATTTCTAGTTTTTATAATTAGCTTCGCATTATCATCTCTCCTCAGTGTGTCTGTTCTTGTCCCTGACAGTTTAAAAAACCTTTCTAAAAGTCAGTATTTGTACTAAACCAAATACCATCTGCTTCCCTGAACAGTATTCTCTCGAAAGATTTTTTCCTTTTTCTTTTTTCTTATTTTTTTCCTTTTTTCTCTTTTAATTTTTCTTTTTCTTCTCTCTTCTTCCTTCTCTCTTTCTTCTTTCTTCTTCCTTCTTTTTTCTTTGCTCTTTCTTCTATTTTTCCTTTTTTTAATTGTGACTATTTGCACAGAAGTAATGTCTTACTCTGCTAGTCCCTGTGTAATCATAGATGAAAACACAGGATTAAATGCATAAGGACTTTGGTATTTCTAAGTCTTTTAGGTGCCTATCCACTTAGTGAGCTCCCTCACTTCCCATGCCAGAGTCCAGCTCCTTGCAGTACCTGGGGAGAGCTGTGGGCATGAGAATAACAGTTAAGGTTGGATGCTGGCCATGGAATTGCTTAAAGCAACCAGTGTAAAAAGGGAGAAGATTGCACTCTTCCCCCGGCAGTAGGTTAGCCCCTGTGTCCAGGCTGGAGAGAAGTTATTTTCATTCTGTTCTTCTGAGGTGATCCTTCTAGAGCAGTAGGTGTGCTGTGGTCGGTTGCCTGTCGGATTGCACTTCATTCAAAACATAATATTAGCTTTGGGACTTTCCCCCTGCCACTCCCTAACACCTGCTTCACCTCGTTGCCCCACACTTAGGTACTCACTGGGAGATGAAAGACCTATTTTAAAATCCTTGTTACATTAAGTTTAAAATAGGGCTTTAAAACAAATCACATGTCCTGGGCTGACTGGTTATTCTCTTGTGAGCTGTCTCCTCATGAAACCCTTGATAAAAATAATCAAATATTTATTGACACAGGCATCCCAAGTGAATATCCTGAGCACCCAAACTGCAAAATCAAGCTCCCCTGTTTTATGAATCTTTGGGCCAATGAATCATAAATTATTTATACAAGCTGGAATAGCTTCAGCAGAATGAGCATTGAATCCAAATGGGTATGAACGGAACAGAGATAAAATGAGCCTGGAAATTACAGGACAGATTCAAGCCATCAAAGGAATGAGACTCTAAAATAACCTTTCAATAAACAGGATAATGGGTTCAAGCAATCTAAGCAGCTTTTGGCTGAAGGTTGGTCATTTTATGAAATAGCGTATATGACGTGACTGTGAGCATTAGAAGGTATTGGACTCAGTGACCCGGCGTGTCCTGTGTATGCTGTTATGGTTTAGGTGCTGCATGTGAAACAACCTGGCCAGCACCAGTCAGGAGACACTGCCCGGAGCCTGCGCCTGTGCAGGCGCTCCCAGCACCTCAGCAGCACTGGGATGCTGCAAGCAAGGTTACGCTAGACTACAAGCAGCGAGTGAGATGTGTGGGTTCAGACTGTCACAACCCAAAAGCCCAAGAGGCTCTGAGCCACAGGGTTTAGGCAGCGGCTGTGTGGGGGCTGTGACAATCTGTTCCCCAGCATACAACGGGTGCATAAGCAGTATATAAACACTGTTTATGTATTTAAGTGTAACAGCACTTTTAAGTGCTGAGTGGGAAGGGGGGAACTCTTGCTACAAGGGTCTCCTTTCAGAACAGATGTTTTGGCCTGGTAAGGATGTTATCAGATCCAGCTGGAAGGGAACCAAGTCATTGCTTGATGAAGACCTGATTTCTCTGACATCTGAAAGAGCTCACTCGGAGGACGGCAGTGCGGGGTAATGGACCGCTGTCTGCGGTAGGTTCTGGAGTTACATGCTGCATGTATTCCAGTACCGGACCAAGGGAAAG